AATTATTTTAATCAATGTGTCAAAATTTAAAGCAAATTTTACAATAAACTACGTTATTTATATAGCTTGTGAGTGATATAATTTTATTTTATTATTTAATTCATAAAAAAATTACTTTTACAATTAATATAAATAAGTGAAATTTTTTTACATAATTCATAAAAAAATTACTTTATTAATATCAATACAATAAAAATACAATAAATAAAAGTAAGTGAAATTTTAAATATAACCCTTAAATAAAAAATAAAAAATAAAAAATAATATAATATTTTTTTAACTTTTTTATTTTATTTTTTAAAAATAATTTAAAAATTTAAATTTAAAATAAAATAATTTCATCAACCACCGATTTATAAAGTGAACTAAATTACATTTTTAAAAGGTAATTAATATAAATTTCGTTGTTAAAAATCTTCATTCACCTCAAAACAAGGACAAATGGGTGTCTAGTTGCTCCAATGTCATCAAAGCACGCGGCGATACAGCCCTATCAATCTTGTGGGCTCCACAGAGCATGTCAGCTTGTAGAGGGGGTCCCACCCTTTTGATATTACACCCGGTTGGTGAGAGGAAGGGTTTGAGCTGGACCCCACAACGATATTCTCCGGTACGTGCCAACGGTAATAACCGTTTGATTTTGATGTGTTACTTTTAAACTTTTCTTGATCCAATGGCCCATATTTGTTATCGTGGCGTTTCATCATCCTCCGCCTTCCCATCTCTCGTCTCATTCTCTAACACGTGTCCCTTATTCTACCACCTGTCACTCGTCCGCACAATTAAACATTTATTTTTCTTTTCCCATTATTTTATTTATTCTCAACTACACTTCCTATTATTTTCTCTCTTTTTTAATTAACACCAGAATTATTATTATCATTATTTTGAGGTTACATCCGGAAAATCCTCCACAGCAACAACACTAACATATCTTCCAAAGATATGAAGGCCACATGATAATTCTCCCTTACTTGAATTTGCTCCGTGCAAAAAAAAGTGAAAAATGAGATTTTTAAATACTTTAAGAAGATAATTCGTATAATTCACACTATTAAGAGCCACGTTTTCCTTGGAGCATGTCAGGAAGCTACTCCTGAAAACAACTGTAAATACAGGAAAAACACATAAAAATAAATGAATTTTACATAATATGTTTTTATTTTTTTTACCATCACATAATATGTTTTTATTAAATAGTATACAAATAACATGAAATATTAAATTCATGTAAGAATTTCTTATAATCAAGTAAGAACAATTTTTTGATAAATGATTTTTATATAAAAAAAATTTCAAGGTCTTACTTGTTTACTGAAAATGAATGAAATGTAATAAATTAAAAAAAATTAATAAAAAATAAATTAAATTATTCTTTCTCCTCATGATATGCATGGTAAAATTTATTAATATATACTATAAATATAAAACTAATCAAACCTTTTAAAAATTTTATAAATTATAATTCTCAACCTCATGAACTAAATACATCTTTTTTTTATAAATGTGGTCACTGTCTGTTTTAGTCGTTCTCTTTTTTTATTATTTTTTTAATCTATTATATTTCATTCACTTTAATAACCAGACGGGGTAAAAATTCATGAGAATAACATTATTTTGTATTGATTTATAAATAAAACAAATCAGAAATAGCTAAAATTGAAAACAGAGAGAATCGGATGCTTTCCAATTACGATGACAACAGACATCTAAATCGGGGGATTCCTAGGAGTAACGTTAACGAACAGTTTTGCTGTAAAGGAATAATACATGACCAACACGTGGCAACAGGATTAGATGGCAACATAATTGAGGAGGGCATGTGAAATCTACTTATCAAAGGCAAAAACCAAAATAAAGCGGAAGCAAACTAATGTGTGGCACGCTAATCCAGAATTTCATAAAACTAAAATTACACGAAGACGCTCGAAATAGTGAACAGAACGTGAGTAGTAGAGAGAGAAAGACTGAAATGGATTCCAAATTGGCAAATTCCAACTCGAGGAGTGATGTGAATCAAAGTCCCTTTTTCTTCCTTCCCTTCCAAAATACTCCATTCTCTCTGTGTGCACACATTCACAAACACAAAATCCACACACACACCTCCATATGTTGGCCCTGCGGCATGTCGGTTCCTTGCGTCATCGGTTATATTATTTCCTGACCCTATTTAATTGATAATTAACTCCAACACCTTTCACATTTTGTCATGTTTCATAAATCTGTCTAATAAATTTTCCAACTAAATCAAACAAAGTCCTCTAAGAAAATGCGTTTTTGTTTATATGGTTATCCAAGTGGATCGGATTTGAGCATTACCGTGGCCAATGTTCGTTGGTCTAAATAATGTGTTTTATTGAGGGTAAAATTTTACTATAAATGATTAATTTCAACTAATTTCATTGATTTACTGTAAAGTTATCATTAGTTTCTTGTAGTAAGGATCCCAAGGTGGATATTGAATTGTTTTTGACCTCCTACATTTCTTTGTTATAAAAAATCTAAAAAATTAAATGGTTGGTTATGTTTCTAGATATATGTGTGCGTATATATTTATTTATATCCCATGTACATAATGCATGGCTGATTTCGATTTCAATGACTTTTAAATAATTTAGATGGACATCACATCGTTTAAACTTGGGAATATGATAATAAAATTTCATCGAGATATATAAAAAATAATTAAATCTCTTAAAATGCTATAATTCATTTCAAGTTTTTAGGTACCTTTATAACATTAATAATTTTATATTAAATGACTAAATTGTCACCTGTTTAAAAAATTTTAAATGAAAAATTGTGATTTCTTACTTATTTGCAAGAATGAAATTTGTGATTATTTAAATAAAAGTTGTAACTAATTAGTTTCAAAAATTAGGCTTAAATGGTAAAATAAGTTTCATATAAAAAATTGTGATTTTTTATTTAATATTTGCGATTAAAAAAATTAAAATTGTTATTACTTAAATAAAAATTATAACTGATTATTTTTAAAACTTAAACTTAAATGATAAAAGAAATTTTATGTGAGAAGTTGTGATTTATTATTTAATTTTTATAATTCACAATAAAAGTTATAATTATTTAAATAAAAGTTGCGACTGATTATATTTAAAATTTAAACTTTAATGATAAAAGAAATTTTATATGTGAAGTTATAATTTTTTATTTAATTTTCACAGATTAAATAATAAAAATTGTTACTGTTTAAATAAAAAATTGTAATTTAAATTAATTATTTTAAGCAAGAGGCAATTCAAAATTTGTTTGGGTAACCCTCAAATATTCTTGCCAATTTCAACAAATATTTAATTTTTTTAAATATACTTTTAATAGATATAAATTGAAATTCATGCGAGAATTTAATTATTTAATAAAAAATTATTAATATTAAAAATATATTCAATGACTTAAAAAAAATTACATTTTGAGGGATGAAATTTTATCATCGCTTCCCCTTTAAAATTACATGTAATTTCAAAAGACTCTAATCCGTGATCGCCAATTCGTGAGAGCAGCTTTTTGGTGCTCTCACTGCTGCACATGTAGTTCATATAATACAGTTCAGATTTTTTATTTAACTTTATCGTACAGTACTTTTATACAGATATATGTACACACACTCACTCACAAATAATAGTGTGCATTAATTAATCGCGATGTATCTATCCATGTGCATCCCACCCAACCCTAAATGCTACGCGTGTTCGGATCCTCTGGTTTTTTCCCCCTTCCTTCCTCATCTCATCTCTATTCTCAAATTATAAAATAAATAGTTCAGATTTAATTATTTTTTTTCAATAAATTTAATTTTTTATAAAATAATTATAATATAAAAATAAATAAATTTAAATTATTATAATTTTATTTGGGCAGTTCACACTTATATTTTATCATTAGAAACTTTTATAAATTAAATTTTATTTATTTTATTGCAATTATATATTGTGCATGTTAAATTTTAACCATTTAAAATTACTTGTTTTGATTTAACTGGTTTAAAAAGTTAAATCAACTTATCTTATAATCTTAAATTTAAATTTTAAAATATTTAATCGCATTAAATAAATATATTAAGAGCATTTTAAGATAGCCATGAAACTATTATTAATAATAATAATCTCACATAACTGAGATTTTGATAAATAAAAATGTTTTCTTATATAAGCAAACCGTGAAGATGGGAAGAGAAGGAGGAGAAGGACGTGCAGGGACATTCTGGAGAGCGCCCGGTAGGGGATCTGCTTCCTTTGCGATTTTCTCTTCCTTTTGTTTTTCTTCCCAAACAAACATTTTTGGTGCCCCCATAGGAATTTATTTCTGTAGTTTCATACATGTATTTTTGTCAATGTCTAACTTACAGTTATTCCTTAAAAAAATACGTTTTCCCCATAAATAATAAGTGTTCTGATGTAGATACTTCTATATATTATAATAAATTAAAATTTACATCACACACAACTATAAGATAAACATTTAATTTACTTTCAATAATTCGTATCCACAAGGAGTGCAATATTTTTGTTGGTCGTGATAATAAATATTTTTTAAAAAGACTTGTGCAAAATTAGTTATACTACTACAGGAAAGTAAAATTGTTTTAATAGAAAAGATCTAAAACATAATTAAAATATTATCAAATAAATACTAGTTCTTTTTTGCCAAAAATTTAAAAATAATAGTATACTAGATTCTTATAAATTTTAAAATTTTTATTTTTTTTAATTGAGTTATCCTTTAGAATCGATCTTTTATATTTTGCCAAACGGCAGGCTTTGTATGACACATACTCCTTCCATACATAAATGGACTCAACCTCCAAGTTTCCAACCTCCTACCCTAATTATTTTCTCACTCAATGCAATTATTTGTCAATTTTGGTATATTTTTAAAATTTAACAGATATGGTCAATTTTTTAGGGCCATAAACAAATAGGAAAGTATAGAGATATGAGTTTGTAATTTTTTTAAACAAAAATTTGAAAAACTGTTGCAAAGACAAAGCCATATGCTGGAGGAGTTTTGAAAGACTTGTTCATTCTACTCTCTTTTAATGCTTGGTTGGCTCTTTATGATCTCTGAATTCTTCTCACACTCCTTCGGAAACTCTCAACCTTCTTCATAACGCCATTAAATCACTACACCTCCTCATCCTTCATCTTCCTCCTCCTCATCCCCCTGAAATCTCCATGGATACCAGCAAAACAGAGAACCCACAGCCTTGGTCTCTTTCTCCATCCAGTGGCGGAAGACGAAGAAGCAGCGTCTGCAATTCCCCCGAATTTGAGTTCTGGAAGGTTCGCAACCCGTCTTTCCCTCAACCCAATCTCCTCTCCGCGGATGAGCTCTTCGTCGATGGCGTCCTCCTCCCGCTCCACCTCCTCCCCCTTCAAAATAATTCTGGCCCATCGGCCTCCACGCAACGCCCGGACACCGAAACTCTCATATCGGAGCCGCCGGATCCAGTGCCTGGGTCCACAACCGAGCCATCGCCGGCCATAACAGATTCATCTGTGACGACGTCGTTTTCGGCATCAAAACGGTGGAAAGACATTTTTAAAAAGAGCGAGAAGAAGAGCGAGGAAAATAAGAGCTCCTCGGAAGAGAAAGGGAAGAAAAAGAATAAAGAGAAGAAAAAAAGCGGGAACGGTGCGAGTTCGGCGGAGTTGAACATCAACATATGGCCGTTCTCGCGGAGCAGGTCCGCCGGAAATGCCAGCACCCGACCCAAGTTATTTACCGGATCTCCCGTAACCCGGAAGGTCAACAGCGCGCCTTGTTCTCGGAGTAACTCAGCCGGGGAGTCCAAGTCACGAAAATGGCCCAGCAGTCCCGGTCGTTCCGGGGTCCATGTTGGTCGGAGCAGCCCGGTCTGGCAGGTCCGCCGTGCAGGATCCACCTCGAAGACTTCCGATTCCGGGGTTCTAAATACCAGGGGGTCAAGAAGAGAAACCCCCACGAGTCGCCGGAATAAAACGAGCACCCCAACAACCACCACCGGCGGCGTTAGCTCGAAGGCCAGAGTTTTGAATATAAACGTCCCCATGTGCATTGGCTACAGACACAATCTGAGTTGCAGAAGCGACGATAAAATTGACGCCGGTGGCCCCGCCGTCTGCGGCGTCGCTGAAAACGACGGAACTGGTAACGCTGCGGGAAGCGGTGGTAATATTTTCAATTTGAAGAGCCTTTTCACTAAAAAGAGCATGATAACGTCGCACTAGTGACAATTAATTGGACTCCCATATACAGTAAAATAAATAAATGCTGCTGAGATTTCATATTTTCACTTTGCCCTCTCTGATTAACTTTTTCTTTTTTTCTCTCTTTCTGATGATCTTTGTAAAGAGAGCTTTGTGGTTGTGTGATTCGTATATACTGTGTTGGATTGTATGCAAGGGAAAAGGCATGTTTCTGAGAAATGATGACTCACAGGTGAAGAGTTAGAAGTAGATTGGTTGATGAGTGTGGTAGGCTGATAGGGATGAGTAGATAGTAGATAGGAATGTTATGTGATGCTTCCTTCCTCTTTGGGTGTACTGTAATGTCAAATGTTGAAATGCGTCACCAAAGAATGTTATTTCAAGTTTCTTTCTGACTTCCTGGTCTTCTTTCAGCTTTCCTCTTTCGGCATCTTTGCCTGTGACTCAGTCTTACACTTGTTACTGTTAGTACTTATTATTAGCAGTGTTCATTTTACTATTAAAAAAAAGAAAGAAAGAAAGAAGCACCCTATATTTACATGAAATTTGACGCAACTGGGATGAGCTGTATTATTAACGGCAAGTTCTGTGAATTTTTCCAAAATTAAATGAAGATTTTATGTATGAGCAAAATGGAAAAGGATCTTTTATAAAGTTGAAATTACATGTAAAAATGTTTAATTGATGATTGATTATTGATAATGAGAGTACTGTGTCATTGATCGTAGAGAAGGCGTTCCCTGATAAAGCCGAATTCAGTGGCCTTTTGAAGGACGAGCACTCTGAGACATTTTGAAACTCAGGAAGTAAGACAAGCAGTAAAACTGATTCAGCATAATAATCCAAGAAGTGTTGCAAGCACAAAATTCTCTTTTTACTCCTTCCTCATGGGAGCAGTATCTAGTTTTCATTGAAACAAACCCAATAACAAATTAAGCACGTAATTAATTCTTGGCCAAAGGTAGGGCTGCACAAAAGACAGGACGGCACTGGACTTCACCCTAACTCGAAGTCCGGTCTCTTTTATGAAAAAGATTGGGTTAGGTAACCCGTAGTCCAGTCTTGTCCAGTGATAACCCGAAGATTAACAGGACCAAACTAGGTCCATAGGACTGGGAGACTGGTCCTGTCAGTCCAGTACTCACTTAGCTTTTTTTTCCTCTTTTTATTTTATGAGAAGCAATAATACATTCCAACATAATAAACTCAATTAAAATAGTAAAAACAATTATAATAATAATAAATCCATAATAATTTCTAACAATAAGAAAAAAAATATTTTTGTTATAGTCTAAATTATTTAAATTTATAAACTTTAACAAAAACAGTACTCAACAAAATTCAACAACACTATATTACAATAACAATTTAGAAACAAACTTAATAAATCTTTATGCAATCATCTCCTTAGCATCAATTACACTTTAAACATTTGTCAAAAATAAATTAATTATAATTATAATAAAAAAATTAATAGGACTGGACTGGACCAAGTGGTCCGGATGCCTGGTCTCTTGTCCAGTCCAACTTGAAAAAATAGTCTGGTCTTTTTAGTCCTTTTGGTCCTGAAGGATCAGTGACTATACAAACCGAACAAGACTGAGACCATCTCGGGTTGGACTGGACCGGACAGGACTGGAAGACTTTTGCACAGTCCTAGCCAGAGGTGACAGACGACAAAGAATGCATAGATGTGTCATGCTACTCCAACCCAGGATATAGAATTTATAAAATCATAGTCACAAAATACATTCCTTCTTAGCAATATGATCAAGGCAAGTATCCGCATCTTCTTAGCAAGATGAGCGTGAGAGTTTTTCTCCCAAAATTATATATGTTAACTAACTAATAACTACTAATAATTTAATTTAAAATAGATAAGTAATAATAATTTTATTTATATGTTTGTTTATGTGTCTGTAGAAATAAGCTTGTCTACCGGCTAAGCCCTGTGACAAATAAGCAAAATAGGTCACTTAGACCTACTTCCACCTTTAATACGAAATATTTTTTCGGTTTAACATTGGAATTAATGTACTACCTTCTATATAAATTACCCTCTCCATTGAAGAATGTAAGATATTTTTTGAGGAATTGAATGTTAAAAAATATAAAATATTTTTTAATATTTTAAGATGTAATCATTATTTTTTTCCTCCCAAAAGTGATCATAACTAATCAATCATTTTATATTTATTTAAAATAAAGCACCCCAATAAAATAGAGGTAAATATAATAAAATAATATTATTTTAAAAATAAATAACTACTTTATTAAAAGTAAAAATTTATTAAAAATATCTTACATCTTTGAATAAAATGATTACTACAAAATTAAGGGATAAATAAATACTTGTCACTTAATAATCTTTTACTTTACCCAGCATCATTGTCGGCACATGTGGAAGGAATGACTGATCAATTTTTATTTATTATTAGCCTTATGAAATATTTTTTTTTAAATGACAATAAAATTCTTTTGAATTATATAAATAATAATTTGGTCTCTTAAAATATTATAATTTCATTAAAATCCCTAAAAACGTTTTTATTATTAAGGGATTTATGTAAATGAACAAATTATCTTTGTAGCAATATCAAGAATTTGACATATAAAGTTATAATTTGCTCTTACATTATTGCAAATATAAGAAGCAAAATTATGATTATTTAAATAAAATTTGTAATCATTACTTGTTATTTCCAACACTTGTATCAATATGAGATATTTGACATATGAATTTGGAATTTGTTGTTGTATTGTTGTGAATATAAAAAGTAAAATTGTGATTATTTAAATAAAACTTATAATCATTACTTATTATTTTCAACACTTATAGCAGTATCAAAAATTTGACATACAAAGTTTTGATTTGCTATTGCATTATTGTAAATACAAGAAAAAAGTTGTGATTATTTAAACAAAATTTGTTATCATTACTAGTTATTTTCAGCATTTATAGTAATATTAAAAATTTAACATGCGAAATTGCGATTTACTGTTATATTGTTTTGAATATAAAAAAAAGTTTTGATTATTTAAATAAAACTTGTAATCATTTTATTCTCATTAAAGGTAATCTGATCATTTATATAACTTTATTAATAATAGAAAGATTTCTAGAGACTTTAATAGAATTATGACATTTTGAATGGTCAAATTATTATTTATATAATTTAAAGAGATTTTATTTTTATCTTCCCAAATTTTTTTTTGAAAAGGAAAATTACACTAAATATTAGATCAAGGATCCTTATAATAAAGTTGGAAGGCCTCGTTTGGTAACCACCAAAGAAGGGTAATTTTTCCATCACGAGATGATAAAAATGTAAAATACTTTCTCTGGTCCCGTTTAGAAAATATCTTCTAAGAGTATTTTTTTTAATTCAAAATATAGGACACTTTATAATAATTAAAGTATTTTTTAATTTTATCATTTCTTAATTAATGTGAAGATATTTAATGTAGTTGTATTATTATTTAAAGTCGAGGGTAAAAATAAAAGTACATATAATTTTTTTTATAATGTCAAAAAACTTACATTTCTTAACATATGTGAAACAGTTAAAAATATTTTATAATAAAGTATGCATTATGTTCCTATAATCATATTTAATGGTAAGATGTTAACCAATATTCTTTCTTAGTTTATTATTAATTTTTATCTTGAGAATTGAGACATGTGACATAAGAGTATGGAACTGCTTTTTCTTTGTATCACACACTGCTTTACGAGCTAATTAAGTCCCGAGGAATGAATAATTGAACACTATTCCCTTTATTTTTATTTATAAAATATTTTAACTGAATCCCATATATTAATAAAGAATTGCTATTTAGTTGAACTTACATAAAAATATAATTTTTTAATTTTAACCCTAATAATATCACAATTAATATTATGATGGTGATAAGAAAAACATACAATTAATGATCTGTTTTATTTTTTAAAATAAAAGTAACATTACTTAATTATTTAAAAATATTATTATTATTTTTTATATTTAGAGATAAAATAAACTTATAAAAAATATTTTATATATAAAAATAAAAGGAGTATACCATTTATGACCCCCAACAAATTGTTTAAAATTAAACACAAGGCGCGGAGCAAGAAAAAGCAGTTTTTTGGTTGCAATTTTGAAGATCGCGTCCAAATGCATCAGCCAGTGTTGCAGGCTCTAATGTAGTGATTCTGAAAACTGAAAAAGCGAGTAAATATTGTGAAACGGGAACAAGTGGACTCCAACGCACATCAGAAGCAGCAATTGTTGAGAACTGTTCGACATGTAATCAGAAGGTTCAAAGGCCTCACCTTGATGTTCCCGAGCCAGCTGTGCGAATAACACATTGTGCAATGCTTATGCTCGTGTTTCATTTTTTTTTTTTATATCAAAATGTGTTTCATTTTCCTTGGAGGAAGTGAGATAAGTGGCCTCCGTGATGCAACCCAATATGTTTGGGCCCTTGCAAAGGCCCAAAAAAAAACAAAGCAGGTAATGCAGTAAAATGCGTTTGCCGGCGAGTTTGTACGTGTTGCAAGTCAAAACTCAAAATCCTTACTGAGTCTGTATTTTGAAGGCTGACTGTTAAAATAAAAATTATGCGTTTCATTTTTATGTCCTCACTCCGTCATAATTTCTAAGGCATTTTCTAGCAAAATTATACATAGCAATGAAATTTATTAAATATAATTTACAATATTATTTTTTATAAACTTTTAAAAATACCCTTCATAAAATAATGATGGGCAAAATGGGATAATTGCCATTAATAAAAATTTTTTAAAAAATATTTTATATTTTAAAATATCAAATCATCTCAAAAAATATCTTTAAAAACAAGACAGGAAGAATATTTTGTAATGCATTGCATGTCAAAATCCTTAAGGAGTTTGTATTATAAACGCCAATTGTTAAAGTTAACTTGTTACTATCATGTAAGATTCTAGTGTTGACTGGGGCATCCAGAAAACTCGACACTTGAGAATGAGAACGAGTGAGTATTATATGCGTTGGTTCCGACAAAATGATCATCAGGTTTTCCAAGAATCGTTTGCCAGCGGACCTGTAAGCAATAGCCTGTTTGGTTGAAAGCGATCCATGTTTTCTGTAGGGGAAGGAACAGATTCAGATTCCCATTGTGCACTGTTTATGTTTGTTTTGTGGCGTGACATTTTATTCCATTCCCAATGGCAGAGGATTCATTCTGGCAGCTTCAAGAATCAAAAATCCCTTTTTCTAGCGATGGAATGAAGCTCCCTTCTAGGCGTTCAACTTTATACTCATCTCAATCGATCTAATTTCTTCCAAGTCATATAGGAATGGTCTTTCCAGATCCCAGGAAAAAAAAAAAAAAAGCAGAACAAAACTGCAGAGCCAAATAAGATGAAACATGAAATTGTTGTCGGACATCCCATCTCTAATATTATATATATATATATATATATATATTATTTTTTAATAAAACATGCATCAAATATTTTAATTATGTTAATATAATTTATTCTTATATTAATTATAATTTTAATATTTGTTAGCCAAATTAAAAAATAAAAATTTCTTAATGTTGATAATTTTAATAACATAGATCAAACAATATAAGGTAATTTTTTTTACAAGATATTAATTATCTAAATACAATTTATTCTTTATATATATATATATATATTTAATACTAATTAATTTGGTGATTTATTGTTCGTGCTCCTCCGGGCATGTTTCCAACCTTGATCCATTCTTCTACTTTTAGCAACTTAGAATTATTTTGTAATTAATTTTTATTTATAATATTATTTGTTATTGGTAATTAATAGTTGAAAGTTAAAAAATATAACCATGATGTTTGGTTTAACTAATAAAAAAAATTAAATCAGCTTATCTCAAGGTCTTAAGTATGAGTCATAAGATACCTAGTCATATTAAATAAATATATCAAAGACATTTTTAAAATATCTTTAAACATTGTTTTGAGATTTAATTTTTTAAAAGTATGTATGAAGAACAACTTTAATGAGAGGACAACTTTTTGCATAATTCTCAATTTCATAAATTAAATTATTCATTTCTCTCATAACTTATCTTTTCTTTATATCTTGATTATTATATTTGTATCTTTTTTTAAATTTATTTCATTCCATTACTTTCTAACCAAATGGCCATTGTTATCTGTTTTGGTGACAAATTTGTACGCCCATATGGGGCTACCCCAAAACAATGTCCTTACATCAAACACACAACAATGGCTGCGTTTGCGTTTGATATATGGGCAACGTGGTTGGTGCACATCCTAAATTTTATTTTCATAAATTTATTTAAAATCACGTGCTTGAGCTCGACAACTTTGTATTTTATCATTTCTTATACTTTATGCAAGTATCCGTAGAATTGTTCTTAGATTTCGAGTTTAAATAATAAAACTCATCTTTATGAATTTACTTTTAAAATTATCGGTTTGCAATTAATCTTGCATTTTATTTAAAGTGTTTATTAATGACCATACTAAATCACAGGTTCAACAGCCTTGTCGATGTATTTCATTAATGACTCTACTTCATCAGAAAATGAATAAATTTAAAAACGGAACACAAGGTCAAAGGGGGAAAAGGATCACGGTTAACGGCGTTATCCATTTTAGCTCACGCGCTCTGGTGGAGCGTCATGTTATAAGAGATTTGTGCGGCAGGATATATTGGCTCTATTCTCGAGCTTTCTTTCTCTGCCTCTTCTACTCTTCCTCTCTTGCGTGTGTTGCGAAGGTAGAAACAGGAAAATAAAAATAAAAATCAATGGCGTCGGGAGACAGGAAAGCATCGAAGGCATCGAGCAGTCGCGCAGGAAGAATCCGTACACTATCGGATCTGAACCGGCCGTCGGTCGACTCCGACAGCGACTCTGACGGGCCGCAGGAGTACTACACCGGTGGCGAAAAGAGGTTTCCATTTCTCCAACCCCTGCTGTTTGTTTGACATTAAAATCTCAATTTTCTGAAATTTTTTATGGTATTTGTTTCTTATCGTATCGAGTAGTTACCGAGAGCTCTTTACCCTGAATTTATATGTTATTTTTCCTATTTCAAATGTTCAATGGCTTATTTGTTCGAATCAGAACGGGGGACGGGGTTGGAAGAAGAATTTAGAGTTCAGTTTCATTTTTTTGCCCTGACATAAACTTTTTCTTGTCATCGAAAGCTTTATATGCTTGACCTACATTCCATTGGATCGGTACTGTTGTGTCCCTTCCCTGGGCACTAATTGAGCAATCAGGAGCGGGAAAGAGAGAACTATGACTTGAATAGCTTGATGCAGTGATTTACGAGCTGGAGTATAGGGATTAAGCCAGTGCTTGGCATTGGAATACAATATTGAATTAGCATAGGAAGCCATTATTGTGGTCTAGCTATAACTAACATGATTTTAGCATTCCCCTTTGTCTTTCTTTCCCCTTGATATTATAAGTGGCTTTACCTATGATATATTACCAGCGATACCATCTCAATCTGCTGATAAACAGATAGGTCACTTTGTTGTTGGTCTCCTGGCAATGGGTAGACTGATTATGAAAACCCTTTAGCTTTGATTTGTTTGATATATCTTGGTATGCATAAATATATTCTGTTAGTTTACCAATTTTTACTCCTGCAATGATGAGAGTCGACTTAAATCATGTAGATGTCAGATCATTTGTTCAATTTTTGAATTCCTAGGTTTATTTTATTCGGTGACTGGTTTTGTTGGAGTTTTTCTTTGGTTTCTCTGTTATGAGTTGCCACTTGTTCTCTTTCCCGGAGGATTTCTTATCTTCAATCTCTGTGCATTTTTTAACCTTATCTTAATGCAATTTCTTATTTTGTTGTGGAACAAAATTATAAATGGGATGAGAGCTTTATTAGCTTCTCATTGTTAGGTGCCCGTATTATTTAGCTTGTCTTTACATTAGATTTTAACCTGTGACCCTTCCTTACTTTGATGTGTGATTATTGATGACCACATTCCTTCTTACATGCAAATCTTTGTTCACTTGACTGCCTGCTGAAAAATAATTTTTCCCGTTGTCCTTAAATATTTTTAGTCTAGATTGAAGTGTTCCTTTATCGTGCCACTCTCCTAGACTGAATTGGTACCACAGATGGTTCAGCTCACTTAGAAACTGGTAGTCATGCTTTCTGAACTGTATTTGGAACTTTCTGTTAGTTATTTAACGTTTGTTTGTTATATCTCCAGTGGAATGCTTGTCCAAGATCCTTCAAAGGGCAATGATGTGGATGCAATTTTCAATCAAGCCAGGCAACTGGGAGCTATAGAAAGGCCTCTTGATCAACTCCAGGATCCACCAAGGTCAACAAGCTTTACTGGAACTGCAAGATTACTCTCAGGAGAAACTGTGCAATCGACTTCTCAACAACCTGAGTCTTTTGTTCACAACATTGTTTTTTGGAGTGATGGCTTCACTGTAAATGATGGACCTTTGAGGAGGTTGGATGATCCTGAGAATGCCTCATTCTTAGAGGTATACTGCTTTTTTCACAATGTTGGGAGCTTTGCAGTTGCGTGCAGCCCAAATAAAGAATTCATCAGTATTTGAAGATTGTGATTTTTTTTCTATTTACGATTCACAGAATGACAGAATGATGAAATATTTCTGGAATTTTTGTTTTTATCTCCACTTACTGAAAACCTCAAACTGAAAATTCCCTACACTGAAAACCGCATGGTAGCCACTAGGGAACTGTATCCCAAGCATATAGTTTGGAGTGCTCTGAAAGCTGTTCTTGAAATGAGCCATGAGACTGTTGAATAATTTTTTCAATATCTTTCTGGAATCTGGAGTACTATTTTCTTCTTGGTTACACTGGTCGATTTGTTGTTAATGATTAATAATTATGTTTACTCTGTTTGAATGCAGAGTATCAAAAAGTCTGAGTGTCCAAAAGAGCTTGAACCTGCGGACAGGAGATCATCAGTCAATGTTAATCTCATAAGGAGGACTGAAAAATATCCGGTTAGTTTTCTGTTAGTGTTGTCCCCCTCTAATTTGATATGAAATCAGCGTGAAACTGGTTTGCTTTTCTCTGTCCTGCTTTTGAATATTCCAGTTTTTTTTTTTTGTTTTAAATTACTGCCCTGACCTGGAAGCTGAAATCTGAGGATCCGTTGAATAAATTGGATGTGAATTTTTGTTATATTTGTAGGAACCCGAAAAGCGCCATCTTCCATTCCAGGGAGTAGGTAGAACTGTAGGAAGCAGCTCTACTTCAGCAGCACCCGAAACAACTGTTGCTTCAGGTTCTGGTCCGTCTAACGCTCCTACCCCTTCTGCAGGACTGGTTGTGGATCAGTCTTTGCGGTCAACCTCAGTACAGATTAGGCTAGCTGATGGAACCCGCTTGATATCTCATTTTAATTATCATCACACAATCAGCGATATCCGTGCATTTATTAATGCGTCTAGACCTGGGGGTGCATTGAATTACCAGCTTCAGGTGATGGGGTTTCCTCCAAAGCTTCTGACTGATGAAACTCGGACCATAGAGCAGGAAGGACTGGCAAATTCGGTGGTCCTCCAGAAATTCTGATAAACTGCATAAAACCTGCTGCTTCCTGGACATTACTGGTTTAATGGCGGTCTTTATAAATTGAACTTATTTTCTCTGCATCAAACTTGACAGGGTTTAAAGACAGTTTCTTCGAGGGCTTTTTGCTTTTGACGACCTAATTGGTGTTATTCAAGTTTTATCGTGTATTTTTCTTGATTTAGGATCCAGTTGGATTGAAGCTTTGAACCTAATGCCTGTGTCTTTCTGCTAGTATAAGTCTATGAGAGGTGGTTTTATTTATCACTATTGAACTCTCTTGTTTCACTTGTCCAAATGTAGAAAGTGCCATGTCTATTGAACTTTGCAAATGTTGATATTTAATCTTCTACAAAATCAAGCCAGCCTTAAGATATTGGGTATTACAATGTTTGGCTTTGCAAGCTTACCCATGGTGCAAGGGGATGATGTCGTACGGTGGTTTTCCAAATACTTGAAATTTTATTTACCAGATAACTTACGGTTAACTTATGCCAAAAGATTAGCTGAAATTGGTTGAAACTTGTTACGTCAATATAAATGTTAGTCATAAATCATCAAAGAGAAGTTAATGGGGCCACTTAATCTAAGGGAAAATCATTGATATGGATTTTCTTTGGTAGATGCATGTATTACATCTGAATAAAGATGAAAAGATTTCGCCAAAAAAAAACGAGAAAGAAAGAGTATAATATAAAAAATAAAATACAAAGTAGATAGACAACAAATCTTGTCCTCCTATGCAGGGTCCTCAATGCTGTTGACAAACCTTGTTTTTTGTCTCTCTTTTCATGTTTGTGAATTCCCGGCCCAATTTGTCTACATTGCTATTGGTTGAACTAACTGTGCAAAATCCAAGCATCCTTACTACATGAGGCCCCCATAAATCAGTTTAACATTTTAGAAAGGGCTTTAGTTATGGACCTGCGTGCACGACAAATTAAATGCTTCCATCGCTATTATGAAGTGATCTTAAGGTAGCATAATTAATTTTAAGAAAAAGTATATAAAAATATGCCAAATTTAATGGAGAAAATCCATTAATTAGGTGTCTAAATCCTTCCACTTTAAAAGATTTTGAAGACACAATACAGCCCATTTCATTAGTTTTAATGTTTTCACCGTTCTTTGCTAAATTAATGATTCCGATGAAGTAAAATAATTTTAAAAATTAAACGACCCGCCTTTTCAATGATCAAATCAAATAAAAAGTTGTGATCGAGAAAAAAGTATATCTTGTTCTAAATCCTCTAATAAAAGATATATTGATAAATGCTTTCAATTAAAAAGCCAAAGCAGCGAGGAAAAACAGAATAATGTCGTGAACCATTTTCTTCCTTTAATTTCCTTCTTTTGGAAATGTCAGGTACTTTGAGATATTTTACGAAGACGATCCATCCAAGTCCTTCAATGATGTTACTTTACAAAAACCAAATAATACGTGATCATGGAAAAGGCTAGATTTGCTTCATGCTGCAAAATTTGAACCGAATGCCAATGAAGAAACACATACACGGATGTGTGTGACTTGAGTTTTGCTGGTCCAGAGGTTTCAGAAAGATTGAAGTCCACTCTAATTATGTTGAAGCGATAGACCTCATCACTAGGGATCAGAGTGTTGACCATCCTTTTCATGTTATTATTTATAATGCTTGTAATTTGGTAAATAGGGATTGGGTAGTTTCAAACTTTCAATTAACTTGGTCTATAGGGATGTTATTAACAATCCTCACTATTTAGCTAGGAAGGCACATGTTTTTGAGAGCACTTTTTACATCTTTTACTATTCTCCATTTTTATTATTTGAAAGAAATGAATGATAACTACTCCTTCCGATTCTATTTATAAGATAAAGAGAAAATAATTTTTTTATTTTATTTATAAGTTACGTTATTAAATTTTTATTATAAATTTTTTTTATCTTCTATTGAATGTTAAAAAAGAAAATATATAATTAAAATATGTATATTTAATACGGGTAAAGTTAAAAATTTATTAAATTTTAGAACAAGTTAATAAATTTTAAAATTTTTTTATACTAGTAAAATATGTTGAAAGTGATTTATAAATAAATTAAATAAATGATTAGGATCTCTCTCACTGTTTCTTTTTAATAAGTTAGAAATATGATTAGGCTCTTTTTTGAAGGTTGTTGTACCTGTCTTCTCATTTTATGAATGCATTTTAGTTTGATTAGGGGAAAAAATGTTGCATCAATTTGTCAACCAATTTGGCGTCTTCTAAGTTGCTAGGTGAAATTAAATAAGCTTGGAGCGTGGTACTGCGCGGGGAGTTCCCTTTGTGGCCGACACTTAATTGATTAATTAATTTTATTTTTAGAAATATGTTATGGACGAGACACGAATAACCCAACAAAATTTAACCAATTATCTGAAATATTTCAAATTATCTTTTTTATGGAAAAAAAAAGAACAGAATTTTTAATCCCTATAGTTTTATCAGGTTTTATTTTCAGTCTCTATAATTTTTTTCCTGTATTTTCAGTCCTTATAGAGACTAAAACCACTAAAAAAAGGAAATTATAAGGATCTAGAAATAAATATTACTCAATCTTTCTGAAACTATAAGGATTAAAAACATGAAAAAAAAAACAATAGGAATTAAAAACAAAACTTGATAAATCTATATAGACCAAAAATTATGTTTTTTCTAAGAAAAAAAGCTCTTCTGTAATTTTTAATTTCCTTAATGTAAAAAAATTCCAAAGAAACGAGTAAATATACTAATAAATCATTAATACACGCACACATATATATAATACACAGAAAACCGTATTTAAAATTATTCATTCCACATATTTCCCTTAATGCAACAAAAAAACATGCAATAAATTTAAAAAAAAGCATTATAGATTTATGAATAATCATCATTTAATTTATATTCTTTTGTTAATTAGAAAAAAGCTTTTTTTCATTATGGCCAAAATCAAATCATCTCTCTTTCTTGGTGATAATAATATGTCCAAATAAAACTCGTTGCGAGTTGCTTTCAAAGAAAATGATGTGGTTTTTACCAAAATAAAAATATGATAGTGGTTCTTATGAGTTAGGAGTTTTGATAATGTGTGTGTGTGTTACCAATTTTATAAAAGAAATGAAAATGAAAAAAAAATCCAATAATAAACTTACAAAGCATGAGATTTTTTTTTAGTGGAGATTTAATATATATATATATATATATATATATATTGACCGAAAGGAGTAATTCCATCAAAGGTAAATAAAACACGAGTCAAAGCCGTAAGCCAGAAAAAATGGCAAGCATACAAAAAAGATCAACCAAAAATAGTTACAAATTAGCCGATTCCCTCTCAATCAAATACAGAAGATGCTTGCAAGGAAGTGTAATGATGCACTATCAGGTCGTTAGTGATGATAGCAGGAGGTGAAGGTGCAAAGACCCAGCCAGAAGGTTCCACCCCCTTTGATGCAGAGGCTACTAAAAAGTCAGCAGCATTGTTTCCTGATCGTCTCACCAAGGGAAGATTCAAATGATGAAAAGACCCAATAGAACGCAATGAATTAGCAAGCAATTCATGATACATCCAGCTGCAGTTATCCCATTTTTGTGAGGATAAGGCATGATGTAGGTCTTGATAGCCTATTTCAACGATGAGTTTTTGGTTAGGGTTGTCAGATAACAAGGGAAATCAAGTATTTCAGCCATGAAACCAAATGAGGCGGTAATTTTTTCACACCAACCTTTAATGAAAGAGCTGTTATGATCTCTCCAAATGATCCCTATGCCAGCAAAACCAAATGAACGAAGAAAAGATCCATCACAGTTGACTTCAACTTCACCAACAGTGGGAGGGGACCATATTGCCGAAACAAGAGTTTGGATTCTCATAACAATTAGCTTTCCAATATTCTCAGGCAGCAACATCCATAGTTGAAACGGCAGTGAAAGAGTTAATTACAGCACCATAGAAAACTGAGACAGACCTCATCTTCCCAATCTTCTAACAAAGATTTGCTGCATAAAATTTTCCATAATCATCCAGATCATCCTGAATCAGCAACTTATGACACCAAAGATCAAAAGGTAAGACTGTTTCAGCATCAACCTAAAAGATAAACAGCAAGCATACCAAGCCTGTCCAGCCCATGCACGCAAAAATAATAGATGTTCAACAGTTTCAGGCTCTTGCAAACAAATTGACCAACCAATAGCACACTTCCCCGTGATAAAGAGCTGATTTAATTAGTTGCAAGGGCATTATTGACAACTCCCCGCAAAAAGTGTTTGATCTTTGGCTGCAGCTTGAGGTGCCAAATATTCTTCCATAAATCATGGGGCTAAAGAAATGGATGAACAAGGCACTAGACTCATTTTGTGGGGGTGAAAGAGATACGGACAGTCGATGCCCAAGCTTAGTAGGGTTTTTGCCATAATGAACGGGAGATTTAATATATCAGGTAGTTAAATCATAATGATTACACTTTGATGTGTCCGTGATAAAAGTTGATTTGAGGATGAAAATTTCAGCAGATTAAAGTACATTATTATGTTTACAAAAAGATAAGTACATTATCCTATGAAGACCATTAGGGTTGATGAACGATAATTAATAGGAGCCCAATGTGCCATAACAGGAAGAGTTTCTTTTTGTTTGTAAATGTAATAATCCCTTTTCACTCCATTTACTATATAACTCCTTCATGATTTGATTGCTTTAATCACTCATGATTACTCCCCCAAGAGGAAAAGCTAATAACGTCGCGTCCCAACAAAAGTGCTAATCATTTCCTTCATATATTTTTTTACCTCTAAAACTTAACAAGTACTCTATTTTCCCGACCTAACAATCCTGTCGTTGTTGATTAATTTATCATTTTACCAGCATGGCAATTATTAATGGTATGTCCCTTTATTTAATTTTATTTATTTATTTTTTAAATAACACATTAAACTTTGACTTGTTGCAGTTTAACTTTTTTGGCTTTTAAATTACACACATATTATCTTTGTACATTTTATTGGCAAAATAATATACAGTATAATTATAAAAATTTGTTTACATAAATTAAAAAATAGCTTCCCAAGGCTTAAAAATGTGAATTGTCCGTGATACTTCCTCCATTAAAAAATATAAGATATTTTTAATCGAATTTCACTCTCAATAAAATAGTTACTTACTTTTCAACTAACCCTATCTTTTCATATTTACCCTTATTAAACATCTTACAATAAATATAAAGTAATTATTAATATGGATGCTTTTGAAAAAAAAGATAATAATTACATCTCAAAAGATTAAAAATGCCTTACATTTTGAACATCTAATTTTTTAAAAAATGTCTTAATTTTTTAACGAAGGGAGTATATATATACTT